GGGAGAGGGAGAGGGAGAGGGAACTGGGGATAGTGAAGGAAATGGAGACAGAGAGGGAGAGGGAAAGGGAGAGGGAGAGGGGGATGGGGATGGGGATGGGGAGGGGGAGGGGGAGGGAGCTGGGGATAGTGAAGGAAATGGAGACAGAGAGGGAGAGGGAAAGGGAGAGAGAGATATAGATAGATAGATAGCTCACATTGCAAAGGCAATCCCTCTTACCGGTGCTGGAGAGATGATGGTTCAGAGTGCTTGCTGTTCTTGCAGAGTTTGGTTCTTGTGTCAGGCAGATCACACACACTGTCATTCCATCCATCCCCAATGCCTCTGGGCTCTGAGGGCACCTGCACTTATTTGCACATACTCCTACCCCCAAACTCAGATGCATATAATTACAATGAAAGCAAATATTTATAAAACAAGAAGTCCCTCTTCCTTATCAAGTACTCCTTAAATGGTCTATATACTAATATCACAACAAAAGCCTTCCACTTTCAACCCAAATTTTAGAGGGTACAAACAGTGTTTAAACTCTGACAAAACTGAAGACTGTGAGGTGTAGTTGATGAAAGGACATTAAAGTGTTCAGTTCTACCCAATGTCTTATTTTAACAGTGTGATCCTGGAACCTATCAAAGATGTCATTTTTTCTTCTATGATTATTTTTCTTGCTCTGACTATGAGAATCTCAAGGTCCAATGAACATTACTCAACTAATTGGTTTCTATTGGTGATGCACCTAGTGTTTAAGGCAAGATGCCTTGGAGAAACCATAAGGCATTTTCACTTCGACTGCTGTCTTCATACTTTGCTCATTGTTCCTCCTTGCTTGCTCAGGTTCCTTTCCATGGAATGGATTTACTGGTCATATGTCCTTCATCAGGTCTGTAGAGAGGTATAATCCACACAGGCACAGCTATGGGCTGCTTCCTGTCCAGTTCTTCTCTGGCTTCCTGTCTTTCAGAGGTACTTACACAGGTCTAGGAACTTCTTATAGTCAAGGCATTTATCCTTCACAGCACAGTGATATGTATAGCTTTACAGATGAAGTGGGCACAGGGAGAGTTAGTGACTTGCTCAGTTAAGAACTGGCAAGTAGGGATTTGAAGTCAAGTGGATACCGTGTAGCTTGGGATCTTAACCACTGCATCACTTTCTCACAGGAATGAGTATAATGTGTGTTACAGTGTGCCAGGCATAATTTTTCCTTTTATTATTCTGTTTTTCTTATTTCAGCCTCAGTTTAAAAGCTTGCTAAGGTTCTGGGTGTCCTCAGAAATGTTGACTGAAGGAAGCAAGGCTTTCTTAATGGAGAAGCTGGGATAGTGCATTGGTTCACTTTGGTTGCTGTAACAAGATACTTGAGACAGGCCAACATTGTGAGTAAAAGAGGCTTATTAGCTTAGTTTTGGAGGTTAAGACTTCAAGCTCCAGTGAGTCCATTGGTTCATTTTCTGGTGAAAGGCTGACTGTCAGATGGAATCATAATGGCTGTGGTGTGTGTGTGTGTGTGTGTGTGTGTGTGTGTAAGAGGGGGTTCTCTTGTGTGAGAGCTCAAGGTCCCCACCAGAGCTACCATCATCTTTTCAGTAACCCCAATGATATAATGACCTCCCAATATCTCTGTGTCTTAAAGTCCCCTCCACTTCCACACTGCTGAGCTACAGATGACGCTTCCAACAGATGGACCGTTGGTGCTCAACCCACACGTAAACCATAGCAGACAAGATGATCCCACCCAAGAGGACATGAACTGGAGCATGTTATGTCAATGATCTCTGCTTTTCCAGCATCACTGTGAGCTTCATTAAATGTGAGCATGCAGTACACCTCTTAGGGAGAAGCCAGTTTCTTTGATTTCTTGGAACAGCATCTAGGGTGGTGAATGGACCCTATGGTTTTCTTCCAGAGTGATGATCACACCTGGGCTAATCCATCAGTCAGCAAACGATCTCCAAAGATTCATGGAGATTGAACGTAGTACAAGATCAATATCATATTTCACTGTGCTGGCAATGGGTGTCTGAGATGGCTGCAGGATGAAGGTGAAATGAGTTATTGGATAATTGAGTGGGTTCCCTCTGGGGTTATCTGGATCCATCAGAAATGGACTAGGAGCTTAATATTTTGTTGACCATAGACCCAGAATGAGATAAAATGTCTTTCATTTGATAGCTGCTAAAGTATAACTTGGAAGTGTGATGTAATATTTTGGGCTATAAATCAAAAGCTTGAATATTATGGTGGTAATTGATTGTATGATTATAACTCATGTAGCTTTTGATACTTTTTCAGATGTATGATATCCCCTCCAGGCTTGTATGTTTTTCCCATGTTCACACCAGCACTTCTGAAGCAAAAAGCTTTCATGGATTCATTTTCCTCTCTTTTGTTAATGGTACTGGAACATGAGGGTCAGTTATTTAGCAAATACTCATTCTGTACGTACCAGTTTCTATGGTGGGCAGAATCAAGGAGGCACCTTCCCTGTTACCATGAATCTTTCAGAATTGCAGAAATGGAAGAACTGAATGTCTTGGAGCTAATACTCTCCTGTAAAATGGTTCATGTGAAGAAGAGGCACTAGCTGGAAGGGATATCAGAATCTCTGCTTATTGCTGTTGCTGCTGCTGCTGATGGTAGTGGTGTGTGTGTGTGTGTGTGTGTGTGTGTGTCAGTGGTGTGTAATAGATATGGCTGAGGAATTCTCTTCTTATTGCAGTATCTGAGACTTGACTTAGGGTCTCTGCTAGGAATAAAAGGAGGGTAGGATGCCTCACTTTTCAGTGACAAATTATACCCAGACCTTACAGTATTATTGCAGTTACGGCTTTTTTCTTGCCACATGATATATTTTTCTAGCTTTGGTGTTTGTTCTTGATGGTTAAACATCTGTTGCTGAGTTCTGGGCATTAGTCATCAAATGCTCACTATTTATTGATCAGAGCTGGTGCACACAGCCTCAAAGAACCAGAGATGAGCTGGAACACCACCATGTACTCTGAATACAGAGATCTTGGAGTATTGGATAGATAGCATCAAGAAACTGAAGTTACTGCAGAATCTGGAGAAAGGAAGTCAGCTACTAGGGAGGAAGAGTTGATCCTCTGCCCAGCAACAGGAAAAAATATTGAGAGCAAACAAATGGACATAGAAAGGGTCAAAGTGCAAATACTCAGATTCAAATCTCAAATCGGGAGCCTACCCAACAGGTCTGAATCAGATTATTTATTAAGACCAAGTTTTTATAAGCCTCATTGTTACTTTTCTTATGCATGTGTGTGCTTATATATGTGCATGTGTGTTTGGTACAGTGTATATGTGCATATATGTGTGTAGACAAATGGACAAATTCAAGTGTTGTTCTTTGGGTGGGATCTGCCTTACTTTTCTGAGACAGGATCATCACTAGCTTGGAGCTCTCCAGTGAGCCCCAAGGTTCTTCCTTTCCTTGCATCCCCAGCACCGAGAATGCTGACATTACAAATGCATGCCACTGTCCTTGGCATTTCTATATGGGTTCTGGGGTTGAACTCAGGTCCTCGTCTTTACAGGGCAAGCACTTTATCAAAGGCACTTTCTCCCCAGCTCTCATGACTACTTCAGACCACCGAACTGAAGCATTGAATGTCCAGTTTCATGAGTGTGTTCTGAAAACACTCAAATGTTATGTGATAATCAGAACTAGGGAATATGAAGTATGCATGGTGGTAAGCACCTAGAATCCCAGCACTCGGGAGGCAGAGACATCTGAGTCTCTATAAATCTGAGGCCAGCTTTGATCTACACACTAATACAGATCAAAGCTACATAGTAAGATAGATAGATAGATAGATAGATAGATAGATAGATAGATAGATAGAGGTGTGTGAAGATTATCAACTTTTTCAATTTTTTATGTTTCCCTTCCTGTCTGGAGTATTTTTTCATTTTCTACCTAAGCAGTTGTGTTTTCTCACCAGGAAATGAACAAAACAGTTTGAGAGTTTCCCTGAAATAGTAGTTCACGAGATGAGACTACTTGGGGGAACATGAGGCATTAGCTTGAATCCAGAGGCTTCCGTGTCTCCGCCGGAAGTGTTTGGGCCTGTTAGAGGTACTTTGCCTGTGTGCAGTGATTAGCGATACCCTTTTGGCACTTTGTAAGTATTAGGCAGAGATGCTAATCATCCTGCAACTCCCAAGACAGTCCTACACAATAATGAGTTGCATAACTCAAAACAGCAGTGATTGAGAAGCATCAACAGGGGCAGGAACAGCTGGCAACCAGAGTGTAAAACCTCTGAAACGGTGTTCATGCCAAAGATACTCTCAACAACATGGCTAGATTTGTGGAACTAGGAAAGAAGCCTAGGAACTTCTTTCCTACTCTAGTCGCATTGCAAACCAGTGATTGGTCAGTTAAACACAGTGTGAGGGAATGCACCAGTTGCTATGTCCTTCCTCATGCCCCACAATATTCTTTTAGACAGCTAAAGGCTTATGTGGAAGGTTAAGGTGAATTCACAGATGACAGCACACATACACATAACTACTACTCATCAGCTCAAATAACCTCTAACTTAAAAGGGAGCAGATAGTGACATCTAAGATGTGTTGTCACTACTGTTTCTTGGTGCCTTGACCCCTAGCAAAAGAACTCCTCCCTAGAGGTACAGAGCCTGGACTTAGGTTTTTTATCGGTTCACGTAATCTCACTGTTTGCTTATCTCTAGTCTTCTTTTCCACATCTACCATTTTTTAATGTCAGCCTCAATTATGATTCAGTGAGAAGTTTGATAGAGCCCTGAACAAACTGCAATTCTTCTGTCCTTTACAATCCTACCTCCTTTATCATCTGAAACTTTCACCTGGGCTGCCTGATTCTTCTGAGGGATTTTAACAAAAGGCCGGGAGAAATTTATTATGCAAATGGAATAGAGGGTAAGGTGAGCAGAGATAAGAACCTACAAATTCTACATACAGTCAGTTTGGCTGCAAGGCTTGTTCAGAAAATATCAATTGGGTCCAATAAGATTGAAATCTTAGAGGAAAATTTGAGCGTGATGTGGAATCTTTTGAATTGGCTGACGCTTGATTGGTGAGGGAATGAATGCAGAAACCATATTCTGCTTTATTGAGTGGCAGAGAAAATATAAAGTGCCTTCCCCAGCTCTCTGGGCTTGTTAAAAGCCATGTCTACCCACATCTACTTTTTGGGTATTCAGTCTGATTCCAGTCAACCTCCAGGGTATGCAATCTTTCCAATACTCAAGATCACAGGCAAACTCAGGTCTTGCTCAAGGTAGAGTCCAGCTTACTGCAGTAAACGTAGGTTTCATAACACTTGAACATGTGCAAATCTGTTGCCAAGTTCATTTGGTCCTTATTCTTGTATATATGTCACCCACATCATTTCAAATGTCATGTCCCTAGTCTCTTTTTCTCCTGTAAATTTTTATTACACACTTTTTCATAGTATGATGATTATTTTAGGAAGTCATATGTCAAATTCTAACAGAACAGATGCATTTTTTTTGCTTCTTTTTTGCTATCCAAGTTAAATGGTCAATTAAAACTGCTTATAAGGAAGAGAATGTGGGGCACACATCTTTCTTACTCACCGTAGCAAAACTCTTATTCAGTAAGAAGTTGTAAAAGTCTTCATCAAGACAGGACTAAAGGCTGGGAGAGTTGGCTCAGCAGTTGAGAGTACTAGCTGCTCTTGCCAAGGACCTATGTTTGAATCCCAGCATCCACACGGTGGCTTGCAACCACCTGTGACTCTAGTTCAGGGATCCAACTTCTCTTCTGATCTCTATTGGCTCCTGCAAGTGGTACACATACATATACTTAGGCACATACACATGAACATACAATAAACAAATAATAAAAAAGAGATAGAACCAAAGATAAGTTTTAGGGAAAAAAAGCAAAGCTGTGTATCTATACATCAAATGACCAAGAACTTACTTTGTTATGTTATTTCTTAGATCTTATTTTGTAAGTTATTTTTGTGTGTGTGTGTTTAGCATGGCAGGGGAGAATGTAAGCTCAGTGCTGGGCATCTTCTACACCTTCATCTATCGAGCATTCCTACCCTTCTTGATCATTTTTTTCAATTTTTGTCTTCAAGACATAGTAATTTCTTCATATGTATTCATAGAAAACAAATTATAAAAAATGAGCTTAGAAATGTATTCTAAACATTAACCAATGAATCAGCATATAATAGCATCAATGACATAGATTCTTTTCGATTTTGAAATAATACTTAAAATCAATCTTTTGCCTGAATGTGACAAAACAAGTTTTGGAATAGCTTTTGTGAAATCAGGCCCATTTAGAGAAAGATAGAAAAGTTAAAGAAGTAGGAACCAGGGCTTACAAAAGGACTTATCATGTCTTTTGTCCAGCTTAGCCACCACATCTGGTCTCTCTATTCCTATCCTTTTCTCTGTCTTGAGCATCTACCTTCTGAACAGTGTGAGCTATGTCCTCACGTCTACCCCTGAACCCTTAGAGGCAAAATAAAAATGGAGGACTGGCAAGATGGCTTATTCAGTGAAGTACTTATCACACACAGATGAGGTCCTGAGCTCAGGTCCTCAGCACCCTCGCAGAAAGCTGGGTGGAGGAGTATATATCTCTAATCCTAGCCCTAGGGAGCTAGAGTCAGGAGGCTCTTTGGGGATTACTGCTCAGTCAGTCTAGGATATCAGTGAGATTTAGGCTTAGTAAGAGACCTTGTATCATTAAAATAAAGGTGGAGAAGTGATTGAGGAAGACATTCAACATAGATGTGTACATGCACACAAATGCATATCACACACA